AACATATGGACTTTGCAGCAACTTGGATGGATTTACAGTCGATCATACTCAGTGATCTATCACAGAAACAAAGAGCATACTACCATATGTTCTCACTCATAAGCAGACATTAAACAATTATCATAATACTATGAGAAGGGGATGGCAGTAGTGGGAAACTGCTGGGGGTGGGGTGGGGTGGGGCATTGACAGTTGAGGGAAATTGCCAGGGGAAATTGATGAGGGGTACACCTCATCAACAAGGGTACCTGAATAATGAACATTTGTACACCTAACCTTGAATTGTACCCTACATCTTTAAAATAAAAAAATTGAAGAAAAAAAAAAGAACTAAGAGAGATTATTATCTTTGATATTTTTGAGAAACTGAAAAAGGCACACCAAGCACCACCGTACCTAGCGCAGGGCTTTCTTTCTTTCTTTTTTTTTTTTCTTGAATGTTTGGTTGAGAGCACTCCTGTTAACCAGCTCTGTGTAGCCTAAATTTTCCTGTTTTTCTGCTAATTCTGTTATCATATCAATCATTCTCTGCTGCCCAACTCAGCCACCACTTATGTAGCAGGATGCCGACAGGGTGCCACTAGGGCTGCATATTTTCAAAACCCAATGCAGAGTATCACTCTTCTTTCACTTCTTGAGCTTGCCTAATGTTTGTGTGTGGTTCTTCTCAGCCTTTCTAAGCAGTAAACAGAGAGTGTTGGGACATGATTAGCATGATATTTATCTTTGCTTGTTTCTTTTTATTTAAAACATTTTTTTAAAGCCAGTCAAATTTATCAGTAGAGGATTGTATACCACTTTAGTGACACTAATGTTAATAAGTTATGATAACCTACTACCATCGGACCAGCCCTCTTTGCTTGTTTCTATTCCCATATCTATTTTGAGAGGCAGACATGATGGCAGGATTAGAGACAGAGGCATCTAAGATTTTGTCAAAGAGTACATCATCGTTTAAACTGCGAAACTTTATAGAGGTGTGAACTATTACTAAAAGGCATGTTTTAGTATCTGATTAGGTCTGCCTATTCTAGCAGTTATAAAAGTGATTCAGGCCTACGTGATTGCTTGTTATGATGTGATACAAAGTCAGCTCCATTCGGAATATAATTCCATCACAGCTGTGTGGTCTCAGGGTTACCACTTAGAGAGGTGTGAAGCAGGCCTCTGCCTTCTCAGGGTCTATATAGGTGTGGATACTCAATACATATGTGCTGAGTGAAGATGAAGGTTGTCTGTAAGCTAGCTGTTTCCAATTTTGTATTAGGTTTTTAAACTACTAAACAAGCCTGTGTCATTGGGTTCAGTCTTAATTTTAATTCAAATTAAACATTCTAGATTCTTCTCTCCTTATATATCCATTGTGGTCTACAGCTGAAGTTGTTACTCTCATTCTTTCTAATGTGATCAGCAGTTTAGAGTGTCCTTCACTGATTCCAGATTTTGTCTTACCTGTTTTAACATAACTGTGACTATATGACTTGTAATATATAAAACAAAATATAAAGAGCTTTTTAAAATGGAGATTTCTTTTGATGGAAAATTATCATCATTATCATAAGTAGTAATAATAAATACCATTTGTAAAACACTTGTATCTGTTTACTGTGCACAGTGTTTTTGCCATTATTAACTCATATCAACACATTTGCTATCGGCAATTTTTTCACTTTCCTATTACTGGGAGCGGGTGAAAATAAAAAAATCTGAAGCTGGTTGCTGCAAACTTCTGTCATTAAGCACAAGTGAAGTAGTCTTTTCTAACTTGTCACCTTTTTCACAATATAGCTGAACATTGCAGACATATCCAGTATTTGCCTTAGATGCCACTCTGACTAGCATTCCATACTTTGTATTTTTATTTGGATTATAAACTAAATATATACATTTATATGTTATATATAATATTGAATATATATGTTTCTTCATTTATATTACATCATTACATCACTATCTGTCTCATTAATAAGTTCACTGGGTTAACCTTCAACCTCATAAATCTCATCAGCATATATTTCTTCATTTTCTATAATTATGGTAAATTATTTTTACTGTTAAGTGTCAAAGCCCTGAAATATCAAAATAGATATCAAGTAGACAACACTAATAGCAACAAAATAATGACCAACTTGCACTTTTTACCAACCATGTAAATCAATAACAACATTGTGCTGTCTCTATCAGATAAGTATCTCAATTAACTTTCTCTCTCCTTGCTTCATTATTAATTTTCAAGCAAAATATAATAACACATACATATGACAACACTGAGGCATTCAGAGACAGAATTTACAAAGATGTAAGTTCACATCAGTGGCAACCAGGAATAGAATCTGGAATGACGTAAATTGTCATCAGCAAATGGGAATGAATTAATACAACCACTCTGCAAAAATTGGTATTATCCCATTTTACAGATAAGGAAACTGAGGTTCAAATAGATTAGGCAAGTAAAATCACACTGTTAAAGATGTCGTATTACCAAGATTTGAAGCCATGTATGTTTGACTACAAATTCCATGTTACTAATCATGTGACCATTACATTACAAAGTAGCATACTAAGTATGCATTCATTGTGAATAAAGGTATTTCACAGCCTCAGAGCTGTCAGAAATTATGATATGTATGTATATAAAGTGCCAGAAGCTATCCTTCTCTCTTTTTTTGAAATATTTGGTGTTGACTATTTTAGGAAACATGGAAAAAACATAGCATAACACAAAACAGGTACAAAAGTGTTCTTAATTTAGGACCCGACATGGATCCCACTTATGATCCCAGCACTTTGGGAGGTGGAGGCAGGAGGACTGCCTGAGGGTTCAAGACCAGCCTGGGCAATGTGAAAAGACCTTGTTTCTACAGTAAATCAAAATATTAGCTGGGCATGGTGGCGTGCACCTGTAGTTTCAGCTACTTGGAAGGCTGAGGTGAAAGGATTGCCTGAGCCTAGCAGATTGAGGTTGTGGTGGTGGGGAGCATGTCACTGCACTCCAGCCTGGGAGACAGAGTGAGATACCTACTAAAAAAAAAATGTATTCTTGATTTAAAAAGGCTTCCTTCTTTCTTAGATTTCTTATCAATAAACCAAGAGATTCTCTTCCTCTACTAGAAAACAACCTATTTAAGGAGGGATGCAAAGGTGAAACCAAAGGTGTGTTTAGAACACATTGAACTGTCTTTCTGAAGTAGGTATTCAGCTTCTCTCATTCATGCATCAGTCTTCATAATATGATGACATTGCTAGTATATTTTCATTGGACGTTGTGTCTGAGAGTTCTGCCAAAAAACGCCATTTTTAGAATGGAGAGCTCATGTCTGAATTTCCTATTTGTACACCAGCTATCACAACCCTTCACATTCTTAAGTATGTGAAAAGACTCAACGTTGAATAGTAAAGCTGTTTGCAGGTGAAGTCTCCTGCCTTCAGTGTGGGTTTGCAGCTTTTGAAAACAACTTTTGAGGAGAGCTTTCTGTTTGATGTGGATTATGGTAAGGGTTATTTATGTACTGTGGTGCCAATGTGATTCCTTGGTGAGCAGAAAATTCTCAGCTAATGAGCTAGCTGTTGGGCTCAGGTCAAAGTGAATTACAGTGTAGCTTTCAAACCTGAGTAGTCACATTCAGAGCTTGTGCTTCTCCTTCAGGAAAGGGTGTTAGGGATCTACATATTTTTTAAAGGTAGAAAGAGCATGAGTATGATCTGTACCTTCACTACTTCTAATCTCATGTGGCTAGGGCTTGGTCACCCATCCTTCTGGCCAAGACACTTTTTTTTCTCTCCTCAACTTTATTAAAGCCGCAGAGGTGGAGAGGAAAATACCTATTCATTAATGTTAAATGCTGATTCAAATGATTTGCAGGCCCCAATGCAGCATTAAAGAAACCTTCATGTAAAGATGAGTCACAGTTGGTTCTGTCAAACTTGTTTTTAGATATGTGGTTGCTTTAGACATCAAGGCAGTTTATAAAATAAAATCCTTTCTAAGTTTTGTGTTTGAAATGGAAATGAATATATTTTCAGTTTTTAGGTAGTAGTTCTGAGTAATCTTTTTAATTTTAGTATCAATGATGGATTTTATTTTTCAGTTCATCAAAACATTTTTCTCCCCCAAATCTGGCCACCTGAAGGGAGATAATCTGGGTCATTAAAACCTGAAAATGTCTCTTTCACTCCATATATATATGTGTGTGTGTATTTGTATGTGTGTATGTGTGTGTGTGTGTGTGTGTGTGTGTGTGCATGAAATTTGCATTTAGAAAGTAAAAATTGCATTTTTTGAACTGCATAAGAAATTACTTGTATTTTTATTTGAATGTAGGTCATTTTCTGACTGACTTCTTACTTTGATATCTCAGCTTCAGATATATAACAACTGAAATGACCTGCTGTCCAAATAATGGTGGGTACAAATGTGGAGGACTATAGTTTTAAGTGGATATACCCTGTACATGATAAATGATAATCATACCACTGGATGCCGTTGTGTCGCTGTGCTATAATCTGATTTTTAAGTTAAGGCCACTGGCGAGAAGCACAATTTAAAGTTTTATGACACAAATTCTATACTTCATGATCATAATAAGTTAACCATCGCAAACATATTGATGTGTGATTTTTATTGATAATCTCAATTTATTTAATAACTACTTAGTCAACGTGTATTTTCTACTCCACTACCTTTGCTCAGCACTGGGAAGATTGCTGGGAGAAACACTGAACCACTCTGATGCTCACAGAACAGTAAGTCTGCCATGATGGCACTGGTCTCTGTGCAGTACTCTTATCTTACCTTCAACATTATTGTTCTGTGTTGAATTTATAGGAGGTCTGTCTGATCATATGCACATGCATATTACTCAAGGAATAAACTGAAACACAGCATCTCAGTGATCATGGATTAATGGTAGATCCCTGAGAATATTCATTTTTTTCCAAGACGTTAGTAGACAGTCCATTGGGGAAACTGAAATTCCTGGGTTCCTTTTGTGTCTTAATAGAGTCGGATCTGGAAGGCCTTGACGATCTAGGTACTGTTTACAGAAACATTAACCAGCAGCTGAATGAAACAGTGCGACGCCGCAGACATGCAGGAGAAAACGATTACAACATCGAGGTACTCCTGGGAGTGGATGACTCTGTGGTCCGATTCCATGGCAAAGAGCACGTTCAAAACTACCTCCTTACCCTGATGAACATTGTGAGTAGTGGCTCCTTAAGGAGGCTCTTTGATCTTTCAATTCACTTCTCTTATTTTGTTAGTGTCATTTGGAAACCTATGTGAGAACTTCATGACCTCACCCCACAGCCAAAATGTGTGTACAACTGCATGAAATATTAGGCTTCAATTTAAAATACAAGAACATTAAAATGAAGGAAGCATGAAACAAAAGTTTCTTTTAGTTGGTTTAGTTTTTCATGATCATCAAGGGAAAATAATAAATTTTAAAAGCCATAATGATATAGAGTTATGACATGAATTATTATATATTTTTTATATATTATATTTATATTCATTTTACATATTTGTTCTAAAGATAACCAAAACTCTCAGGACCAGTCAGAACAACATAGCAAGACCCTGTCTCTACAAAAAAATTAAAAATTAGTGCAGCATGATGGCACATGCCTGTAGTTCTACTACTTGAGAGCCGAGGTGGATTGCTTGAGCCCAGGAGTTCAAAGGTGCAGTGAGCTATGATCAGTCCACTGCACTGCAGCCTGGGCAAAAGAGCAAGAACTTGTCTCAAAACAAAACATACAAACAAACAAAAAGCCTCTTAGCCCATGAGAGCTCAAACGGTTCTTTCGAGCAGCATCCCAGGATGATACAGAATGATTATGACAGATAGTTCTGCCTATTCTTGTTACACCTTTAGAGCAAGTGTAATTTTTTTCAACATTGTAAAACGGCAAGCAATATGTTCACAAAGCACACACTATTGGCACACTGCTGTACAGCTGTCACTGAAGGGCTGCTTAAATCTGTTCTTTATTTTCTTTTATGAACCATAATCAGATTCTGAAGAAGTTTTGTCAGTATCCCTAACTGGTGGGGTTTTTTTTCTTTTGAATTGTCAGAGAGCAATTGAGGAGAAATAATAATATATAAACCATGCATGCCTCTAAAAGAGAATTGAGATATTAGTGTACTCTTATATATCTCATGCCAATATAAAATACATATGATATTGATCTTACTAATTTATTACCTGAGACTATTCTCTCTTTCTTCTCTCTCTCCACCCCTCCCCTCCTGGCTTTTGATTTTTAACTTAATTTTTTGGTGTATCTATATTATTTACCTTTTTTCTCCCGTACTTAAGATTAGATTTCAAATAATTATACTAAATAAGAAAAATTATTAATTTCATGAAACATGATTTTGTTTATACTAATATTTAAGTCTGTTAATTATATTTTGGTTCATTGAAATGTCAATGTATAAAATAATACATATACCATATCTCTATGAAATGGAAAATGAGTATAGAAATTCAAATATACTTTTGTTTATTGGCAGTAATTCCTGTTATGAAGAACAAACAACACACTGAAAACAAATTATAAACCTTGAAATAGATGTGCTTAGATGATCATCATTTATGAATCATATGTTTATTTTCACTTCTTTGACTATTAACTTTTTGCTAGTTGTGCAACTTTGGGTATGTTATTTAGACTATGCTTGCTTCAGTCTTATCTGTACTGAGAAAAATAAAAGGGATGTTTAGAGGATTAAATGAGTAAATACATGCATTATTTATGGTGCCATATATGCATGCATAAATTGACAATCACATTCTAGTTTCTCATGTCAAATTTTACTTCCTAAGTTAGCTAAAACTTAAAACTTCCTATGGAGACGTCATCCTCACGCCTTCATTGTGCCCCAGCGCTGCTTTGTCTTACCACCTGAGAGGGAAACAATCGGTATAGACTTACTGGGTCCCTAACTGAACTACAGAATTACAGAAATCTCTTGGAGTAATACAACAGTGATTGGATAAAGTACTTGTCCTCACAGAACTTATAAATAGTCAAGGAGAAAAGATAAATACATGGTAAAATTAGAAAACAAAAAGAAATCAAGAAAAGGTATCATGTCATTAAGACATATTGTAGGTACTATATAATAAATGCTATATAATACTTTAGAATACAGAGATATGACCACAGTCATCCAATCTTGAAGTGGTTAGATATTAAATTGGGACTTAGGAGGGCGAGGCTTTAGTTCTAGCTCACTACTGGTTGGTTTTGTGACCTTAGACAAATCATGTCCCTTCCTAGGACTTAGTTTCCATGTTTAAAAATTGAAAGATTCAACAAGATGTTCATACATTCTGTAATTCATCAAGAAGTTAGACATTTAACTGTGTTCTTAGAGATTTGTTTTCTGTTGTTTTTTGGTTTGCCTTGTTTGTATGTTTTGATGGGTATGAAAATGTAAAGGATTTCTAGGTAGAATTCTTTCAACAAGAGAGTAGGGATAGAAATAACATATTCACCAGAGAGTAAGTATATTTTAGAAGGTATCAAAGAAATAAAGTGCCTCATTTTGTTTATAATAGTCAGAAGGACTTTTGTTTTTAAGTTCAGTTAAAAAGTTAGATAATAGATTTAGCTTGTCTCAAATAGCAAATTATTTAAAGTAAATAGAGTATAAGGGAGTAGAGCTGCAGGAGAGAAAATATTTTTTAAAAATTAAAACATTCATTGCATCTGAAATAATTAATGTGGATAAAGTATTTAGAGAGGCAATAATAACACTTCTATTCTTCCCTTACACAGTTCATAAACATCTGAAAGATAGATGTGTAAATCACACAAATGAAGAATAAAATAGTTACATTATTGATGAGAGCTGAATTGCACATGATTTAAGTGTATAATCACAAGGTTTTAATTATTCTAAATCAGTGGCCCTCAGCTGAGCATAATTTGTCCCCGCCTCTGTTCTCATGGATATTTGGCAATATCTAGAGATATTATTGATTGTTGCCACATGGTGGGGAGGATGCTACTGTTACTAGTGGGAGAGGCCAGACATGCTGCTAAACATTCTTCAACACATAGGACATCCTACACAATGTATAATTATGAAGTTTGGGAGCCAAAGTGTCAACAATGCCAAGGATCCAAAACCTTGTTGTAATTAAATAGTCTTACTCCCAGCCCTCATCCCTCTCCAACTGGATAATTTCAGGTTTTTTCTCTAGGATCAGGCAGACAGCTTTAGGCAAGGCGAACAGAAGACTGAATTACTCTTTCTCCTCCCTGCTGCCTCCCATTGCCCTGTTGTACACTGTTAGATCCTGAATACTGGCCTGAGCATGCTCTTTACCCTTCCACAAATTCATCAATTGGGTGAGAGTGAGAGACAGACAGAGGAACCATCACTAATGAAACTACCTCATAGAATTCAGGGCCAGGAAAATTGCATTTTTCTGTAACACGTCTTCCCCCATTATATTCATATAATTATCTCCTATGCTAACCATGCTTTATGACTTCTTATGGTTATCTAAAATCATGACTCACCAAACTTGAGACCCCCAGAGGTTTTCCTGAAATGTCAGATAGGTTCAGGCAGAAACTGTAGAAGAAAACAAACAGCAGTAAGTTCTCTCTGCATTGATTAGGGGAAAATGATGTCTCTATGGTAGAGAGAAGAACATGGTCTTATTTGGTACCTTGCCTTAGTTGAATAGTCAGCTCTTCCTTTAGTTTACTGGGTTGTCAATTTAGTTTCCATATCAGACTCAGATGATATTTACTACATAGTTCCTGAAGTAAGAGAGACCAAGTGGTTTGCTTCATGGTATCCTTTAAATGTAAACTGAGCTTCCTTATGAAGGGATGCTTGTATTTCTTATCTAATGCTTTTCTTGAAAAGAATGATTATAATATTCAATGTTAGATGTATTTTAATGAAAGAAAAACTAAATGAACAAGTGAATATTAATAATATGGAGGTAGGTTGTAAACTATCTTGGGAGTCATAAATTTTGGACTCAGAACAAGAAGAAATATATGACAAATGCAATGATATAATGTAAGTACTGTTTAAGAAGTAAATTAATAATTATTGGATATTGTATTTTTCAAGTATATTTGTAAGATGGGCATTATTGCCATTTTATCTTATAAAATGGAGATAGTTTTTAAAAGATTATTCGCAGTTTGTGAAACAGTCTCAAATAATGATAATGACATCATTATTACTAAAAACAGGGTTATTGGGAGAAGAAACTGGCTTAGAAAATTCAAGTTACATTTGATTTTAACTCAATCATAATTCAAATATAATCAAGAAAAACACTTAAAATGCAATACTTTATATTTCAGGAGTAGTGTGAAATCGTTTTGGTTTATCTGCTATTTTAAATTGGCCATGCATATTGGCCACCTTTTGAACACAAATATATTTAATCTATTTCAGGCCATATTTCCTAATGCAGTATTGATTGTAGATATATATGTGGTAAAGTTTGGTATGTGATTTACCTGCAAATCTAAAGGTTTGGATGCTGGGAAGCTACCTCATTAGGCTAGCACTTTTCTCTGGGGGTGTAAGGGTCAAGTGAGCAAGTGTGAACAGGTTGCCGACTATTTTGATGTGGTTCTCTGAGAGAGGAGGGATACCCTCTACTCATGCCCAACTCTATTGTGAATCAGTAGGAAGAGAATAAGATGCCTTTTATTTTTAACTCTTTCTATTTTGTAGATTTTGAAATTTCTCCAAGCTTCATTTATAAAGTAGAATAAACAGATCTAAATATATACTAAAAGAACATGACTATTGACCATTTTTAGATTCTTCACAAACTTTTTATACTTCAGATAAGAGATTTAGTATATGTTAAGCCTTTGTTAGGATCTCATATCTTGTTATATCAAAAAATGTTTGGTTTTATGATTTTGTGACATGACTGACTTGCTGGGAAAGTATTTCTCAGCTATGGGACCTGTCTCCTCTACCAATACTGACCATCGCCTACCATGTATAAGGCCTATTTTAGTCACAGGGAATATTCCAGTGAGCATGATAGAAAATTCTTGACCCTTTTGGAATTTACCTGTCTCCTCCACTAAGCTTCAACGGAGTAGAAAATTTTTAGTTTTTTGACTTTATCCATAATTGTCAGCCTTAACCTCAATGGGAACAGTTCTCTAATAGGTTGTTTGTTCCTTGAG